CTTCGCTACCGCTTTTGAGCCTGTGTTATTTTCTTTGACTACCCTCTTTTGGAATCAAGTTTAGAGTAAAAAAAAAAAAGAAAAATAAAAAAATTCATGTACCAAGAGTACAAACTAGGGCAATTCTTAGGAAGTTAAAAAACAAAGATTTGTCAAAGGTCCGTGCCCTAAAAAATAGGAGCTGGGGCAACTTGTTTTGAAAAAAAAAAGAAAAAGAAAAAAAAGAAAGAAAAATGAAAAAAAATTAGTTAGGTCAGATGTTTGAACTACGTTCGACCTGATTCCTTAAAAAATAAGGATATGTAGGCAGCCTCACGGTTTGGTCCAACCAAATAAGAATTCAAATAAAAGATCCAAAAAAAAGCCCAATAGCTGAAACTAGGGCAGAGATTTTTATTTCACTTGTAAAAGAGTCGGTTCCAAGAGTTGTAAGTGCATAACCCCTCATTTTGAGTTTACTTTGAGCCGTCATACCGACCCTTCTTTCCAACCCTATCCAAAAACCTTCCAAATAAAGACCTCCCGATGCGCCTTCAAGGATGCCAAGAGAAGCATGCACTGAGCAACGGTTGTCACGCGACATAGAACACTGTCAAGTTTTCCACACAAGAAAGCAACAGAAAAAAAAGAAAAAGAAAAATGAGAGTCTTACTAGTGAAAACCTTCACGGGCACTGTAAGGCGACAGTAAGTAGAGATAAATAAATGAGAGAGACTTGTAGGTGAAAATCCCTCGGGACACCACTAGTCGAAAGTGAGTCGTGAAGCTGATGCAAAGGAATGACACAAACAAACCCGACTTCAAAGGTCATAAGAATGGTAAAAGGGAAGATTGGATTAGTTTGATCAGGCCGTTGAGTCCAAAATACATGTCATGATCATTAAGGCTAGTTATTGAAAGAAAAAATGAAAAAGAAAAGAAAAAGAAAAAAAATTCTTCCTTCTATCCTTCCGACAGGGGCATTTCTTGTTAATACTTGTTTCCTGCACCATTGTGTCCTTCACTCTGAGTCCGTCCTTGTCAAAACAAGCAAGAAAAGATTTCAAAATCTGCTACCAGCTTTTCAGTTGCACAAAGTAAATTTGGCCAGCACACTCAGTTGTTACTGTCAATATACCTTGAGGATTCATACAAAGGCTTCCCCAAAAAAGACTCTTGCCAGCTTATTTGGCGCAATCAAAGATAACTGGTGATTCTCTCTGACAGACAAATTGCTCAAAAGCAAGAAATCATTCAAGATATCGGAAAAGGTCACCTAAGCAAAGATCTCCAATTGGGATAAGGCTGTTTGAGCTGCAAATACAAATGGTACTGGTGTAAAACAATCAGAGTTGGTGCAGAACAAAAGTCTTTTGAGACCGACTCAAGCTGATTGAGCATAAGCCAAGCTGCCCAAGATCAAGGCCACAAATCGACCATCATTTTCAAAACTGACCAATTTTTCTTTGTGTGAAACAGGAACGAAGCAGTGCAAGGAAAGTGGTTCAAAAAAAAAAAAAAAAAACTAAAAAAGAGAAGGAAAGAAAAGAAGAGAAGAGACTACAAAAGGGAAGTTTCTCAAATCTTTGCCTTTGTTTGTCTTGCTATTGTGCATAAAATCTTGTCATTGATCTTTACATTTTTCCTCCTAGGATAAAAAGTCCTAGTCTGATGAATTTTCTCCTACGATAAATGTCTTAGTCTGATGAATCTTTCTCCTAAGATAAGAACCTAGTCTGATAAATCTTTCTCCTAGGATAAATGTCTTAGTCTGATGAACCTTTCTCCTAAGATAGAAAACCTAGTCTGATGAACTTTCTCCTAGGATAAACATCTTATTCTGATGAATATTTCTCCTAAGATACAAAAAAAATTTAGTCTGATGAATTTTTCTCCTAATATAGAAAACCTAGTCTGATGAATTTTCTCCTAGGATANTTGGTATAGTACAACTAGAAGGTAAAGCCCTGCCTCAATAGATGACCAATGACATTCCTAGTCTAACTCCTAATTGGATAGTCTCCCTCTATTGTGTTGTAGAAATATTCACACTCTCCCCTAACCTACAACCCTAATGCTCGACCTCCATAAATCCCTATCAAGGGCCATGTCCTCAGTAATCCTAAGTCGTGCCATGTCATGTCTGATCACCTCTCCCCAATACTTCTTAGGTCTCCCTCTACCTCTCTACGTGCCCACTACAGCCAGTCGCTCACACCTCCTCATCGGTGCATCAGTGCTCCTCCTCTGAATGTGCCCGAACCATCTGAGTCTCACTTCCCGCATCTTGTCCTCCATGGGGGCCACACCCACCTTCTCTCGAATATCTTCATTCCTAATCTTATCCATCCTTGTATGCCCGCACATCCACCTCAACATCCTCATCTCTGCTACTTTCATCTTCTGGATGTGTGAGTTCTTTACCGGCCAACATTCAGTTCCATACAACATGGCAGGCCTAACCACTGCTCTATAAAACTTTCCTTTTAGTAACAGTGGCACTTTCTTGTCACACAAGACTCCCGACGCTAACCTCCACTTCATCCACCCCACCCCTATACGGTGTGTGACATCCTCGTCAATCTCCCCGATCCCCTGAATAACCGATCCTTTCTCCTAAGATACCAAATACAAAATAAAAAAAAAGAGAAAAAAGGACATAGTCTGATGAATTTTCTCCTAGGATAAAAGTCTTAGTCTGATGAATCTTTCTCCTAAGATAGAAAACCTAGTCTGACGAATTTTCTCCTAGGATAATTTGAAAAAAGGAAGTCCGGATTTGAAAAAAAAAGATTAATGTTTAGTTTTCTTGAAATCAGGGGCCCCGCATGGAGAATAGGGTTAGTATTTACTTTAGTCAAGCTTAGTTTACAGTTTTTCGCAAGCTCAATCACTTTTAGGAGACGCACATCCTAGTCTAGTCTTTAGTTTACTCTCATCATTGCATCAATAGTATAAGTGGTTTACAATATTGCTAACAACTCACAAATCTTCCTAGTACAAACTGGGGCAGAAAATTTCGTTTGTTTTGTTGGTTTTGATTGCAGGCACCCACATGGAAAACAAGGGAACACAGAAAGTGTCAGTAATCAGGAGCCCACTTGAAGAACAAAGCAATTCAAGTGTCGTTAATCAGGAGCCCACCTGAAGAACGAAGCAACAATTCAAGTGTCAATAATCAGGAGCCCACCTGGAGAACAAAACAATTCAAGTGTTAGTAATCAGGAGCCCACCTGGAGAACAAAGCAATTCAAGTGTCGGTAATCAGGAGCCCACCTGAAGAACAAAACAATTCAAGTGTTGGTAATCAGGAGCCCACATGGAGAACAAAGCAATTCAAGTGTTGGTAATCAAGAGCCCACCTGAAGAACAAAGCAGTAATTCAAGTGTTGGTAATCAGGAGCCCACATAAAGAACAAAGCAGCAATTCAAGTGTTGGTAATCAGGAGACCACCTGAAGAACAAAGTAGCAATTCAAGTATTGGTAATCAGGAGCCCACCTGAAGAACAAAGCAGTAATTCAAGTGTTGGTAATCAGGAGCCTACATAAAGAACAAAGCAGCAATTCAAGTGTTGGTAATCAAGAGCCCACCTGAAGAACAAAGCAGTAATTCAAGTGTTGGTAATCAGGAGCCCACATAAAGAACAAAGCAGCAATTCAAGTGTTGGTAATCAGGAGACCACCTGAAGAACAAAGTAGCAATTCAAGTATTGGTAATCAGGAGCCCACCTGAAGAACAAAGCAGTAATTCAAGTGTTGGTAATCAGGAGCCCACATAAAGAACAAAGCAGCAATTCAAGTGTTGGTAATCAGGAGACCACCTGAAGAACAAAGTAGCAATTCAAGTGTTGGTAATCAGGAACCCACCTGAAGAAGAAAGCAGCAATTCAAATGATAACAATCAGGCGCCTACTTGGAGAATAAGGGAATTCACTTCAGAACGCAACTCAAGTCAGCAACAAAAGAAGCTCGCGGCAAGAATGCGAGTCAATAGTCTGAGATGATCAACGGAAGTTAGTCACAATCCAGAAAAAAAGAAAAGCAAGAAGTGAAGCCAAATATATAAGTTGATGAAAGATGTGAGCTACTCAAGACATAACTGAAGTCACAAGCATGGTGTGTCTGGTCTTGATCCGAAAAGCTGAAAAAGAACGAGCTAGCACCTGTAACTAGCAAGCGTCAAGGTTCAAATCCAAAGTCTGCATGAAGAACCCTTCAAGACTCAAGCTTCAGAAGACTTATAGATAGGAATCTTGTAACTCGTAGTTGACAAGCTTAGCTAGTCTTTTCCATGTTTTAATTTTGATGTAATAACAGGACCGCGAACCGGAACCTCGGCTGAACGACACCTCAACTGGCTCTCCACCTCGGCATACTTCATCATCTCACTCACTTCTGAACTAAACGTGGCCTGATTCCTTTATAGCCAAGGATATGTAGGCAACTCAGATACCAGGGCTCAGTCACATTTCACTTTTCTCTTAGTTTTAGTCTTTCCAAATAAGGGTCGAGTCAAAAAACCTGTCTAGTCGTTCTTTGTCTGAAAACTCTTCGCGTTTCCAGTCAAAGAGGGGCTGCCGTAGACATGTGATTTTTGACCCTACCCAAGATTTTTCATATTTTAGCACGTAAATATTTAATTTAGGGATAATATAGCTATTTTAATTAATTTTGATTCTTTTACTTTATTTTAATACAAGAAAATGAAAATTACAAAAACAATAGTTGCATTAATGTGCTGTAGTAATTTTTAATCTTGAAAAATACCAAAAAAAATAATTAAAAAAATAGTTTATTTTAACGGTCAGTCTTATTTTAATAGTTTATTTTACTTAAGTAGGATTAATTAATAAATAAGGTCGTGTTTTTAATCTCGTTCGCGGGGAAAGAATAAAACTTGGGCTCGAGCAACCCATCTTTAGGCCTAATGTTGGACCTAGCCCATAATTCCTAGGCCCATACCCCTAACCTAATCCCTACCCCTATATAATAGTACCCAATCCCTAAACACCCCGGGGAAAAAAAAAACCAAAAAATTCTGCCGTTTTCAGAAAAAATGGAATCATATGCTTCTTCTCTAAAGAAAGCAACCATGGCCATGACTTTTTCTTAAAAAAAATCCACCAATCTACGGCCACAGATCCCAAACAAGAATCTCCATGTTTATTTTTAGAAGAAAGACAATCGGCTCATATATCTCCAAAATCCTTTAAGCTTCAACCCCCACTTCCCTCAAAAATTCCAATAGTGATTTAGTCACTGAAGAATAACAGCCCCACACACACATTAAAAAGAAGGGACGAAATGGAAGGAAAAACAAAAAAAAAAGAAGTGAAAAAACAAGAGATAAAATCGGACAGAAATTTGGAGGTCTTTGGACAAGAAAAGTGAAGAAAAATCAATTTCGTCTAGTTTCAATTTTACTTCAAAGTCAAATATACAAGAAAAATCAGTTTTCTTCTTTTGGATTTTTGTTTGAAATGGAGTAAAGCCGAGTGGTTGTTCAAATTTTGGTTGCTGACTTAGGTTTCGATCGAGGTTGCGGTTCGTGCTATTGTTCCTCCTCGTTCGGATAAGGTTCAAAGCCCTATAGCCGACTTCATTTTTATTATCAAAAAGAAACTTATATTCTCAGGTTCAATCTTATCCCCTTTATTTTATGCTTTGGTTTTGGTGATAATATGGTTTGAATCTTGGCTAAATTAGATGAATGAACTTTGAATTCGGTTTAGCTTCGTTCCATGACAAAAATAGTGTTCAGATTCCTCGTTTAATTTTGAAGCTCTTGTTTGAATTTTCTTTAGCCTTCTTAGAGTTATATTAGTGAAAGGGGAGATAAATATGGTGGAATTCTTATTGTTTGAAAATTTGTCCTACCGTCAGATGCTTTGAACAATTTTACACTATTTGAGCCAAATCTGATTTTTAATCTTTCGTAGTGTCGAAATATTATCCTTATTAGTTAGGTTAGAATAATTGCCACGCTGAATATAAAATAATCAGTTTTGCTTGAGACAAGTCAGTTTTAGGGCTCGTGGTTGGGGATAAATGCAGTTTTCATTCTCTTGTTTCAATTGTGTGATCCTTTAACGTTGGATTTTAGACTTTAGTTTCGACGGATTCAAGGCACTGTCTCGCATTGCCAATATTCAAAATGAGTCATTTGATTTTGATATATGGTTTTCAAAAGTCTAGTCCACTTGAACGAACATGTTTCGTCACTTTAATGATTTATTTTGTGAATTAATTGACATATGGGAGATAACGTTAAGGAATTGAATAATGTGTTAGACACTTGGTATTTGATTATTTGAGGAATTAACATGAATAGTTAAAAGGGATTTAAATGCCTTCTGAAAGCTTTGATTCACTTTACCATGTTCGTTACATTTCCGATTTGCGTAGTTTTATTTCTTGCTAAATGATTCGGTGGTGCATTTCATGTAACCCGATCATAACAACTCCGAATAATAAAATCCTTTGAAATAATTTGAGGCGTGCCATGCCAACTAAAATCCCTAAGCCCATGACCCTCACAAAACTAGTTAGATTTTATAGAAAATTTGAGGTTTGCCATTTTTATTAAATAGTCCATGATCCTCATTCAATTAGTTTTAACTCTTTCAAAAATCGAGGTGTGCCATCAATTGAACTTTCCATGGCTCTCGCAAACTTTGTCATTAATTTGAACTTTCGTAGTTGCTTTAGGCGTGCTATTTAACTTGATTTTCTTTTATTAAATTCGGGTGTGCATTTCATGTGACCCAAATCCAAATCTCAACAACGTTAAATAAAATATGTCGCGGACCGCGGGTGCATTTATGTGATGTGGTTCAAGACGTATTTTAGATGACGTTGAATCTTTCCTAAAACTAATTAAATAAAAGCGGTTTTAAAGTTGAAATTGCACCATAGGCTAAAACATTTACTAAAATCAAGTAAATAGACCAATAACAACAGTTGAGCAACTGTGCTAGAACCACGGAACTCGGAAATGCCTAACACTTTCTCCAGGGTTAACAGAATTCCTTACCCGGATTTCTGTGTTCGCGGACTGTAAAACAGAGTCAATCTTTCCTCAATTCGGGATTTAAAATCGGTAACTTGGGACACCAAAAAATTATCCCAAGTGATGACTCTGAATTTTAGATAAATTATCCTGTTTCGATTGTCACTTAAATTGGAAAAAAACTCCCTTATACTCCTTACGGGGGTGTAGGAAAAAGGAGGTGTGACAGTACTCACATTACTCCCCGCACCCTGTGTATAGATTCAGGAGTCTCGAGTCACGCTAGCGAATGCTGATTTGCTTTCCAGCAGGCTGTTCGGAGTTGACTAGGCAGCTGCTCGACGTTCGCAGCCCAGTGCTTCTCCTTCCTATCTTTATTTCGCTTTGTACTAGCCTTGTATTAAACTATGTTGTCTTTTCATACTCTTAGACGGATTTTAGATGCTCATGATTGGTGACCCGGATGTCGGGCTATGTTTATTTCCGCACTGTTCCATTCTACTCTATATTTTAGGATTTATAGTTTATTAATGACTTTAAATAAATTACTATATCTGTTTAATTGATTTGGGGGTTTGTATCGGTTGACCTTGTTTCACGATAGACGTCATCACGACTGGTTCCTATTTAGGGTCATGACAATTGGTTTGGTGCCCTCCTTTTCCATCCATTCATACCACACAACTTTGGGAATAGGCAAAGTACGTATTGATTATGTTTCATTGGAAATCAACTGATCTTTCTCAATTGCTTCCTCTGGTCCATTTTAATTAATTTTTTGGTCTTGTTCATAATATTTAATTTTTTTTTGAGATATCACAGAGTTAACTTCGTTTTTTTTTCAAAGTTACCCTTGGATTAAAGAGTCTAGGAATATTTGTTATATTTTTAATGAATAAATTAATGTTAATATAGTTAATTGTATTATTAATTAATGTTAAAAACTAAATTCCTTAATATGTGTGATAATAACGAAAAAATTAATTAAAATGGACCGAAGGGAGTATTTCTACTTGTAGCCTAAAAAAGATATAATTTTTTTAAGGAAAAGGGTTAGATGTGTCCCTCTACTATCGGAAATTAGTTATAGGTAGCCTCCGTTATACTATTCTTCACTATCTGCCCATGCCGTTACCAATTTTAATATTTCTACCCCTTCATCTAACGGACCAATTCATAAAGACACGTGGAAACATCTTAAACAACCTAACCATTTACCCTTTTGCATTAGTAGAAATGGCGTGGGATAGCCATTTTTAAAGTGGTATTTACTTTTTATCCAGCGTTTTTAATGCTGAGCAAAAGTAGCCACTACTCTATTAAAACTAATATAAAAAGACGAAGTTACCCTTTCTTCTGTTCTCTTTTCCATCCCTAACCCTCTATCAAAATTTCCTAAACTCGTTACTTCTCTTCCTCGTGCAATAAGTTCTTCCCCAACTTCATCCCGCTTCCTAAACCCAAAGGCATACCACTTCCTCGACGTTGCAGACCATTTCTCCAACTTTATTTATTTTTCTTTTTCTTTTGGTTGGTTAGGTTCTTGTTGTCTTTTAGGCTTCAGTTTTTAATTAATCTGATAGCTATTATATGTTATATGTAGTGGTTTTGACTGTACTATTTCCATTTAGTTGATGGGACCCTTTACCATTTTATGAAATTGAATTTTGATTGGAAAACTGAGAGATCTAAATTTTCAAACAAAAAAAATTCAAAAAAAAATTGTTTCTTTTTGTTATTAGCTTTCTGTTGTGTAATTTGACATCAATTATGTAAATTGCAATTATTATTATTTTTATTTTTATTTGTAAAAAAATACAAATAACGTTTGGTTTTCTGCTACGTTATGGATTCTGAACTTACAGTTACAAGTTCAAAAGTTAAGGACACCTGGTCCTGAACTTCGAGTTCCAAGTTCAAAAGTTAATGACACTTGGTCCTGAATTTAGAATTACAAGTTCAAAAGTTAAGGACACCTGGTCCTGAACTTCGAGTTCCAAGTTCAAAAGTTAATGACACTTGGTCCTGAATTTAGAATTACAAGTTCAAAAGTTAAGGACATGTAATCCTGAAGTTAAGTTCAAAAGTTAAGGAAATGAGCATAAGGGTATTTTCGTCCGAGTAGTTAAAGTTTATTAAAGCGTGACTAAAGACATTTAAAATAGTGGCTTAAAAGTAAATATATATGTTATTAGTGGCTAACCGTGCACTTCCCCTTTACATTACCCGTATTCGCCCTTTAAAAGACCTAATCTTATTTTCTTCTCCAAAACTAGGATTTTGTAATACGATGGCGGATCCTCCACGGTTTCCAGCGATCTAACCGGTGCTGGAGTGTCAGCGACAAAGCAGAGAGAGGATTTAATGAGCAACAAACGATTAGATTTAACAATTCCTTAAATTCCTTGACTTTGATTAAAGTGCTAGTAGTATATATTGGGGTTTCCGTTTTGGTATCTCAGATTGTCGGTCGCATATTAAAATTTTGAATAGTTTATCGGGTTTAGATGAGGATGGTGCTGGTATTTAGCATTGGGCGATCTTCACATCCCGCATAGAGCTGCTGGTTTTCCTAAGAAATTAATCCTACGCTTGTTCTTGGCAAGATTCAACATATCATATGTAGTGGAAATTTTTACATTAAAGGAAGTGTTTCTCTTCCTTTTAATTAAAAGTAGTGGAATACGTTATATAACATATAACCAAAGACATTGATATAATTTAATTCATCAAAAGTAGTGATAATACTCCAATGTGGGTTGAGAAGTGGAATACGCTGTGGGTTGGGTCCCAAAATGTAACCAAAGCTTTTATGATGTCACATCTAAGTCTGACGTTCAACAAACTGGTGAGACCTCCCAGATGTGGTTTGATCTTATCTCGCTCTGACTTTTCCAAATCCTCCCACCACAAGCGCAACTCCAAAGGGATCTTGCTCCTAACTGTTACCGACAAACTTGGACCCGTGCTCATTCTGCATGTTTGTTTGGGGTGATTAAGACTCATTGGACTCAAAGAAAGAATAAACTAAAATTGACACACATTTAAATAAAACT